ATCTTGGGCTAGGCTTCTATAACATATGCTGAGCAAGTCTGCTGATTAAAGAAAACCCAGAGACATTGGTAAGAAATAGAAATGTCATCAAATAAAAGGAATTCAACAAAAACAAAATAATAGTTTTGGTGTTAGTAATGTAGAAATTATAGATGATTTATTTTATGTTTTATTTTAAATAAATTCACCTCCATCATGAGAGTAATCCTGTTACGTGAATCTTTATAGATTACAGATCACACTATTCCCCACAATCCTGGCTGAATGTTGTGGATCAATAAAGTGCTGTGTGACTAATTGCTTAAAGTGCTTTTATTTTAAAGCATGGATTTACAATTTGTAAGTGTACTTTAATAGGAACAACTTGCATTATGACCAAGAGAAGCAATTTATTCCACTCCTACTTAAAAAAAAAAAAAACTGTAAGTAGATGATACACTCTTCGCACATCCCTTCTAATCGCCTCTCATCATAACCAGCCTAAGTTAGACAGGAGCATGTACGTAGGAGAGGAAAAAAAGGAGCATGGGAAGGCATTTTTAAAGAACACTAGCCTTTCTCATCCCAGGTTAAAGGATAGCTGGATATGTGAGATTGATTTGTATTTTGGCTGATTTTTGAACCTTAATCAAGATAGCTACCAACTAAGCTCTCTAAGATTTATGACTTAATGCTAAATAAGATGGAGGAAAAATTATTTGTTTGGAGTTTTGGTATCCCCAATTCAACCAGTCTACAAATTTCTTTTTTTGTTTTAAATTCTTTTTTTTCCTTAAACAGTTTCTTGTCAAGTTGGTTTCCATGTAACACACAGTGCTCATCCCAACAAGTGCCCTCCTCCATGCCCATCATCCCCCTTCCCCTCTCCTCCACCCCCATCTGCCCTCAGTTTGTTCTCAGCATTCAAGAGTCTCTCATGGTTTGCCTCCCTCCCTCTCCCCAACTATTTTCCCCTTTTCCTCCCCCGCGGTCCTCTTTAAATTCCTCCTAATCCACCTATATGTGCAAACATATGGTATCTGTCCTTCTCTGCCTTATTTTGCTCAGCATAACACCCTCTAGTTCCATCCATGTTGTTACACATGGCCAGATTTCATTCTTTCTCATTGCCACGTAGTATTCCATCATATAGATAAACCATGTCTTCTTGATCCACTCGTCAGTTGATGGACACTTAGGCTCTTTCCATGTTTTGGCTATTGAGAGTGATGCTATGAACATTGGGGTACATGTGCTCCTATGCGTCAGCATTCCTGTATCCCTTGGGTAAATTCCTAGCAGTGCTATTGCTGGGTCATAGGGGAGTTCTATTGTTATTTTTTTGAGGAACCTCCACACTGTTTTCCAGAGGGGCTGTACCAGTTTACATTCCCACCAACAGTGTAGGAGGGTGCCCATTTCTCCATATTCTCGCCAGCATCTAGTCTTCTGATTTGTTCATTTTAGCCACTCTGACCAGCATGAGGTGGTATCTCAGTGCCGTTTTGATTTGTATTTCTCTGATGATGAATGACGAGCATCGTTTCATGTGTACAAGTTTCTCAAATAATATTTATAGTCTATTATCAGGGACATCTAAAGATTCCTAGAATTTTGGAATATGCATACCAACAATATTTGCCAAATATGCTCTCTGTAGCAGGTACGTACCTGCTAATAATTACGTATTCAGATTGATGCAGATTTAAGTGTTTTTTGTCTCCATGGGAAAAATGAAGAACAGAGTCAAAGGACATACACTCTCTTGACTCTTTCTTCCATAGATGGAAATTCATACATAAAGAGTCTTCTCCAGTAAAGAATTGGATCATAAACACTAAAAATTAGGAAACTTGTAATGTTTGTGGTCTTTAGGTTAGAAACAATTCATTGCTCTAGGTGTGGGTGAATACGCAAGGAAAACAGTGCAATTTTAGATCCTTAACATCTACAGTGGATGGTTGACTATAGTGTTGCAGAGTGAGGAGTCAGAAATCATCAAGACAAAAATGATAACAGAGTTTTCACTAATTTACAACTGTTGGTTTTTTAAGCATAGGTATTTCAGTCACTTATCTATGTTGAATTTTAAATTGAAATATTTCTCATTGTTCCTGGAGTCACAAATCTCTATTATTTCTCCTCCATGGGATTAGCAATAAAACATTTGATTCCTTCTTGCAGCCCTTTGCTTTGACATTCCCCAGAATATAGGATTTGGTATCTGAGTCCTTCTTAGCCTGACTCTTACTGTAGGTTTTACTGCACAGAGTGGCAGTAAAAAGAGTTTTATTTTTTAGAAAATGCTTCTCACAATTCTTACTATCAAACTATTCATCTCTGAAGAACTGAATTTTGAATCCTCATAGCTTGTCAGAGCAGGAAGATGAAAACTTATCATGTTTACAGTTCTCAACTTGAACCTTTGCCATTGTATTTCTCCAAGCAACAAGGAATGCTTTCACTCTCAAATCTAATAGAAACTTGCCCCTTTGGATCTGGGAGTTATCACTATGCAACCAAACCCTTTGATTTAGTAGTGAAGTACATGACTCAGGTTGAATGCCCAACTCTGCTCCTTCGCTGAACTGTGACCTTGAGTAATAAAAATTATTGGGAAGATTAAATGTTAAAATGTATGAAGCATTCAGCATAGTACTCGGCACAGAGTAAATACTCCTTATATGTTAACTAGTTTTTTTGCTGTTGCTGTTAATATTATTATCATTATTAATAAAATTTGTCACTTACTCATTAATTTATATTCTTTCTTATATAAATCACATATGTATTAATAAACAAATATATAACAACACATTCATGTTAGAATCTGGTTTTAACAAGGATTTTAAATTGTAATTGCTGTATTATTACCATTTGGTGATTTTGTTTCTTATCCTCTCTTTTGTTACTGGTCAGTTCCTTTTCCTTCATTTTTTTTGCCCATTGTAAAGTTTTCCTCAAAATTTTTAGAGCCAGAGAATTACTTATATTCCTCTTTTAATTCAACCCATTCCCTTCATTCGGTTCTGTTTTAATTTAGTCCTAAGTAACAGAATATTAAATCAGAAGTTAAAGCCATGATTCTAAGATGTCAGAAATAAATCCTGTGAGATAGAAATTTCAAAAATTCAAAGCCAATTATAGGATGCCTATAATCCTTACCCAACTCAAGAAAATGAAAGGGTCACGTTGTTAATGGTTGAAAAAAGATTTGCAAGGAGAATTTCTTTAATGAGCTGTCTGCTATTGGGAGAGGTGTAGAAATGCTTCCTTTTTTACCTCAATTCAAGAGAAAAGAGCTGCACCAGGACCCTCAGGGGATACTGGAAATGGAGTTTAGTTCAAACATGAGATCTAACGGGTTAGTTGGTGATAGATCAGCCAAATGAGAGGAGGCTATGTAGGTTTCAGTCTTTCCTCAAGTAATTTATGGGAACAGCGTCTTCATGGGTGCTTCATGTAACACAAATATGGCCCACCCATATTTGGAAGGATGAAAGGACCTTAGCAGACAGAAGCTGAAGATGCAACAATAAATTTCTGGGGGGCTGTAAACATTGTAAATAACCAGAGGTTCATGTGCCCATAGCAAGGCGATGAGATGTCTCCAGCCATGGTCCCTGTCAAGGAGTCCATGAAGAGCCCATGAATGTGCTCATAGAAGAATTAGTTTTCAACACCTGCTGGGTCTAGTGAGTGTGGAGCCACTCTACAGTGGTACTGGTTGAGTAGGAGCTTGGCTTTTCCTCTCAGCCCTTTCTCTCCCTTGCTCCAGCTCAGGAGTCAAGGTGGTCAGTTGGGGAGAGTGAACCAGAAAGAAATCTCAACAGTGACCCCCCTCCCCAACACACACCACTTCTGGACTCTGCCATAGGCTCAAAGTTGGAAAGGAATCTTCTATGATCTCTGTTTGATCTTTGCTTTAAGATTGATGTGCAATATAGGAGATGAGACTTTCAGATGTTGGAGTTGAGACTTGGGCAACTTCATGTGATCACACAATGTTTATATTATGCAAGGATAATTGCAAAAGTCATGATACTACCTGAAAATTTCATCCTGGGACAAAAGATAACTTTCCCTTTTTGAGTATGTTTTTAAAAGAAAGCAGGAGACAAATAATTTTGCTTTGTGAAAACACCCCATAAATCTTATATGCTCATTACTTTTATAATCCCAATTTAAAAATCTGTTGCAACTGAGATGACACAGTCTTACAATATATGTGAAAGAAATTACCTCAAGATAACTGGTGTGATGCCTGTCAGTGTATTTGATCTAAGTTCAAATAGAACATGCCATCATATATGACTATTTCCTGAATATCAAAGTATTTTGAGTAATTTGCTCAAAATTAATTTCTGCTAAATTTTACTTTATTTTTTGTATAAGACATTTTTATCTATACATTCTGCTTTATATTATTATTTGTGATAGATTCTAGGCAACCTTTCCAGAAATGTTGGTATATTTTCCATGTTAATTTTTTTTTCTTCAAGGTATATATAAATGATAAGTGACTCTGAGATTATAAATTCCATGAGTTTGTTTTGACAGATTATGTTTTATCTTAAAAATTACTATTCTCTAATAGTCATTTGTTCAAATTCATAGCAACTAAGTAAAGGACACTGATCAGTAGAAGGATTGTTTAAAACAATGTGTTTTGATTTAAAAATATCAAGGAAAAAACATGCAAAATTTTTATGCTTGCCTTAATATATGTTTAAGCATGTCTCATGAGTTTCAGTTCTGTATTACCAGATTAAACTACAACTTCATAACGTTGTGTAGCTACTGCGAGATAACTTGCTGAACTCTAAATCAAAGAGTAAATTTAAAAGTGATTTAAATCTAAATCTGAAAAGAATGTGTTTGGTAACTTCAGAGAAATGTGCCATAAAATCCATTGAAAAATGGAGACTTCAACATTTACTATTTGCTTCAGATTCCCGACTTTATGAGGTTTTTTCCACAGGCTTATTTTGTTTTCTTTCGTCTGTTTGCTTGTGTTTTAGGTGAACCTGATCCTCGTAAGAACTCAGAAGATCTAGTAAATGCTGAAGAAAAACATGCTGATACACACTCATAGGTTTGAAATACATTAAAGGCTTCTGTCATTTTAAACATAAGAGGTAATTTTATTTTTTAGACAAGATATCTAATTTTCAAGATGAATGGGTTGTAGATATCACTAGAGGCAAAATTACCTTATTTCAATGCCCTCCTGGAATCTTCTAAAAAAAAAATCTCTCCTATCTTCTGAAGTAAAATCTTAAATATTTGCTTTTTCAAAGAACTTAATTTGCTCATCAATAAAAATTATACTTAGTGAGACATTTTAATCCTTTAAAATAATCTGTAGGCTGATTTCTCTTCCTACTTCATGTAGGACATTATGGATGTTTACACTGGGTGGTAATAACAAAGCAAGTACATATTATGAAACAAACATCAATATGTGCTAAAATCTATAGGCATTTGTTTGCATCAGTATTGTTTTTTTGTTTTTTTTAAATTCAGCTTCTGGGGTCTGCTTCCAGGTCTGCTTTTTATCTAACAAATTATAGATTGAATTATAACTCTGGGAATGATGCCTTGGAAATCTAAATTTTTAATAATCCCGTCTGTTGGTTATTTTGTGCACTGTAGTTGAGAACCATTGTCTTAGGCCTAATTGCAAGCTGTTAGTAGGGAAGGATGTGCATTAATAGTGGAGATGTCTTAGTGTCTCCTACAGAAAGTAAGAAACAAACCCGGTGTGGTATAAGGAGTACTGTTCTTGGAGGTGATGGCCACAATAGAGAGAATGCTACGGATGCTATATACCAAGTCATTGAAATGTTATCAGTGGCTCCTCACATGTTGCTTTAGATATGAAAGAGTTAAACTGTGATTAGATTTTAAGATGATTTATCTCTCAGTATTCTTGAGTTGGTTTTAAGACTGTCTTCTCTTGATAACAGTTTCCTTAATACCAACTATCAAGGGTCAGGCACTGTGGTGAACATCTTACATATATTATCTCACTTAATTCTCCTAACAATTTCAGAGTTGGTGGTTGTGGTTCCTATTTTACATAGGAAGCTTGGGCAGAAATCAAGCCCACAAAGTGGCTGTTCAGCAACTAAAACCCATGTATGTCCACAGTTAACAGTTTTGACATATTGTCTCATATTAGCTATGGCAATTTCTTTTCATCCCTCCATCCAAACCATGAATTTATTACCTTTAGAGCTCACAGCTATTTCAGAAGAGTCTTTAAGTTCCAACGATATACAATGTGCCCTCAAAGTATATTTTAGGAAAAACTAAATTCAGTGGGGTATTTATAGGTGTTTTAAGTACAAAAGGTTTTTTGTTAAATAAATACCATTAGAAAACTGAGTTAAACAAAATTAAACAAGAGTCTTCTTTCCTACTAGATGACCAGTGCACACTATGTAGCTTCAAAAGAGAAAAGTTCAAAATCAGCATTTCATATGCATTTATGATATGAAACTGGAATATTTATGAACATTTTCCAAAAACTGTAGGAAACACAGATCACCAGTACGTTTGTAAAACCGACTATTTAAGCTATGAAGATGTCTAAGACAAAAAAAATTATCTATACATTTCTGGCATCTCATCAGTGAAAGACTTCAGTGGGATTCAACTGGCAGTTAATGAAGTCTCTTTTTTTTTTCAACTAAAAAGTCCCCAAAGCTGGAAGGACTTGAGACCCACTCAAGCTAAACAGTTGTATTTAAACTCAAGCAAGCTTTTAGACAATTTTTTTTCCCCTCAACACTAACTAAATCCTGTAGTTTTCATCTCAGTTGGAGAAAGCTCTGCCTTTGGTGCACAATCTGCCAGAAATCATGGCTTTGAATCGGTGAAATTTATATGCTTTCAAGAAATAGGCAGGTCTTTTATAAAAGGAAGTAACAGGAATGGTGACAACAAGTGACTATGACTTGGGCCCACTGTCTGGAAGATAAGAGCAATAGTCAGCCTTAGAAACTTCTGAAAGGGCACGGCATACCTGACCCAAAGGCTGAAGCTAGCCAGTCTTTGAGTCCAACATATTTTCACCAGGCACAAATCAGAGAACAGTGTTTCCATTGGTTAAGGGATTTTATTATGTAAAATCTTTCCATTTTTAATGTTGACTAAGAAATTTTTGAAACACTATGTAGACCAAAATAAATATGTGTTGAAGGTCAGATTTTGCCCACAGGCTCCTAGTTTGCATATTAACCACACCTTCTTTTTGACCTATAGCTACTCTTTCACTGGCAGTCATCATGGAAAATATAGATCTTATGGAAACCTGGCTGTATCTCTGAAAGCCATTGCCTGCTGCATTCTCAGTGTGGGAGCCCCAATATGAGATACTCTCCCAAAAAAACAATTGACATCTAATTCAATGTGTACCATGATGAAACCTCATAAATCAATGTGCAACACTATACTTAGAGCAAGAAATCAACCTTTGGAAACTACTTGTCACACTGTTGTAAAATTTCGCCACTATTTCTAAGAGATTTCTTTTTTTTTTTTAAATGTTTTATTTATTTCTAGGAGAGAGAGAGAGAGACAGTGTGAGCAGGGGAGGGTCAGAGAGAGAGGGAGTGACAGACTCTGAAACAGGCTCCAGGCTGTGAGCTGGCAGTCAGCACAGAGCCCGACGCGAGGCCCGAACCCACGAACCGTGAGATCATGACCTAAGCAAAAGTCGGACCCTTAACCGACTAAGCCACCCAGGCGCCCCTCTAAGAGATTTCTACCCACAAAACTATTTTGTTTTTCTTACTTTTTGAAATGATATTGTTAATTAAAGTGAATGAGATCAGAATTGGATGTACAATGCATTGCTGCTTTATTATTTCAAAAGATTTTAAAAGGCGTTGGCATATAATTTACTATATTGTCTTCCTTGAAGGATATGTCAGAGGTTTCTGGCACTTCCAAAGCAAACCACTATCAGATTTGGTACTCACTGGGAGGGAAGTGTTCCCTCTTCCTACCAATGCCTGCTCTTTAATGTTGAGTGTACTGTCCAAGAGGTCAAAACCTAATGGGTTTTGGTCTAGATTTAGTTTGTGCATTTGCTTTGTTTGACTTCCACACTGATTTAAAATATCTTTTTGAATATCTTTAAACAGCATTTAGGCTCATTAGTTCACCAGAGTCCTTGTGACTCTACTGGTTTTACACTCACACAGGCCCACTTGCCTGATTTATACTGCCTTCCAGGCTTGTGTACCTCCTTGAATTTGTGCCTTCTGACCCAAAGAATCCAAGTTTTTTCTGAAACTAAAGAATTAAAACACACACACACACACGCACACATGCACGCACACACACAGAAGAAATAACAGGAATTCCATTGGGTATAAAGCCAATATCTATTATATACTGATAAATCCTCTGTTTCTGACGAGGTATATAAAGTCCAATTACCAAACAGTAATGGAAGCATGTATATGACTGAAACATGATTTTCATTTTCATTTGGATTTTATTTCAGGATAATGAGAACAGAACAAAAACATCCTAAATCCTCAACTTTCCACAAAGCTATATTCTTTTTCAGCACACACCTGGATCAGGCCATTTTAATGGACTCCTATATAAGGAACTAACAAGAAGAACATAAATTCTGAGCTAGTAACTCTGGCCATACAAACATATTCAAAGTTGCCATTTTTCCTGGTCAGTGCTTCTGCCATTGTCTTTCCTCCAAAAGACAAGTTTGGAGGAAATGTTTTGATTGTTTTCATTCAGCTTTTTCAATCAAGTCAGAGAAATTTTTAAGACAAAAGTTGGATAGTTAAAATTGTCATCACTTTGAATGAGTAATAGTATGGGTAACTATGTGATAACACACGCAAAAGATGAGGCATTTTTAAAGTTACTTTCTTGTAATTGTTTTATGCAGAGTTCTGTAATTACAAATATTTCAAAGTTTTAAGAAAAAGAAAGCAAAACAAAATTATGGGGAAAAAAATTTTTTGCAGCCCTGAAGAACAGTCTATTTAGATTCTTTTAAATACATGGGAACAGCACGAGAGGTGAGGCTGTTCAGAAGCTGTGGTTGAAGTCTCATGACGGCACTGGAGCTTTACCATGGTCCCACCACCTGATGACCACTTCATTGTAACTGTCAAGCTGGGAAACTGCAGTGAAACCTGTCCCTGGAAGCAGTGGACCAACTCTCCTCTCCTTCCACCCTTGTGGTTTCAAAGCATAAATCCATCACCCACATGGACATCATCACAATGCAAGTCACACGTTACCTACACTCCGGGATAATGAGAACCTTCAGCCATTGTTGGAGACAGACATTAGTGCTCAGAATGGAATTTGCCTTCTGGGGTGTTGCTCCCATTAAGACACAACAAAATATATTACAGACCAAGGGATAAGTGACAAGTGTGTATGTGTCTGTACTCAAAAATCTCTATGAAAATGGAAGGCCACAACTTTCTGTAGAGAGAATGTTATTTGGTGTGACTTTATAATCTTCCTACACAGAAACGAACTGCACTATTTGAGACTCTGCTTCCTTGTCATGTTTTGCCTGAGCATGTGCAGAGCCCTTCCTTTGCTCCAAATTGAAGAACTACTTTTATTTGTTATTAGCTGACAAGAAAGGTCAAGTACAATTAGCTGTTGTAACTTTTCACTGTGCAAATACTCCGATGATTCTGAGATGAATCTGTCTTTGTGAACGGTAGAAACTGGATGGAAAAAATCAAGAGTAGCCATCAATTAAAGAATAAAGTGAAGGAGGGTCCATCCATCCTATGGGTTTTCTGTTGCACCTGCTTTATTCCTGGGTTCCACAATGCTAAGCAGTATTTTAGAAATTGATAGATTCAGAAGCTTTTAAGGCTGAGTCGTGGGGTTTTATTACCCACAACTTAGATCTCCCTTAATGTGTAAGCCATATTCTATATGCATATTAGGTATGCATCATTCTAATTTAAGATATATTTGCGCATAGACTATGTATAAAGTGCTTTTAAATGTTCTGTGAATAAGGTCCTTAATTTTTGTTTCACCTGAATCTTGTGTAGAACTGAGCTAAATAATTGAATTGTATCATAGAAATTATAATGCAATTGATATTTTAAATGTAAGCAGTACAAATTGATCTATGATGATGTGTTGGGGCAAATTTATAGATATGTACATCATGGTGACTTTTTGTCTTTTAAAAAAATGGACTTTTTATTTCTATTTATGAAGACATTATAACTACTGCTTTCAGTGTCTTTTTAAAAATAGCTATTTACCAGCTAGAAAATATTCTGCATTTAAAATAGAATCTGACTATCTGGGAAATGTAATTACTTTTGTTCTTCTTTGAGCCAGTTGTCTTTCAGAAAGCTAGAGTATCTCTCTAGGGAGAAGTAAATTGAAACATGGCTCAATTGTCATAGGAAACTTGTCTACTTTGTTCCCATTGATACTTTAAGATCTATAGATTTGTTACTAAAAAAATAGAGAAATATAATGAATTCATCAGTGTCTGTATATGGGCTTTCACTAATTTTCCAGGTTATTTAACTTATAAAGCACTGTGACTGAATTTCTAGAGGGAGTGGAGAAAACACACTCCACTTCTTCAGAAGAATTGTCACGCTGTTGATATGCTTTTTTCCTTTTCTAATTTACCTTCCTTTCTCCATTCCCTTCTTCCTCTCCCCTTTTCACTTCCCTTGTTCTTTTTTCCCTTCCTTCCCTCTAAGACGGCTACTAACTAGTGTGTACTGGCAAGAGTGGGTGTGGTTACCAGTGCCCAGCCCTCTGCAAACACCGTGGTTGGGTCTACCTTGAAGAAATGGTCCGGTTGATGAGTCAGGCCTATGCAGCTCAGATGTCCTACTTTGCATTTTTATCCTCAGCTCCACCACATATATCCAACAATTTCATATGCCTTTTTATTTAACCAGTAGCTTTTTTATTTAACTTTTAACTTGACAAGCTACGATTCTTGTGTTTTTATTCTGCTGTAGTTCTCTGTATTCCCTATTACATATGATTGTTAAATAAATCATACTTGAGGGAAAAATATTGTGAAACATTTGGTGTCTGATATAATTCAATTTGGTGGGACATTGAAAAGTTGGAGACATCAGAATACTGGATAGATATGAGTTTTGATATGAGTTCTGTCAGAAGATGATTTTTTCTCTTTTAAATAAATATTCATTGAACATTTATTAGTGCAGCTATTATTTGCAAGCTCCTGGCTAGATCCATGTTGCACATAGGAATCTGGAAACCTGCATCTTTTCTCTATAAATTTCATAGCTTATAGTAGAGATCATTCATACACATAAATACCCAAAATGCCACATTTAAAAGTAACCAGGTGCAAGTAAAATGCACCTGTGGATAATAAGGAGGTAAAAATTGTATCCTTCTTCAGGGCTTCTAAGAAGGCAGAATAGCTTACATATGAGTTGATACTCACTTAAAAAATAATAGCAAAGCTCATGTTCATTGCCTATATTCTATGTGCAGTCTCTGTGTAAACACTTAACACATATTATCTCAAATCCTCAATAATTCAGCAAACTAGGTATTGACATGCGTCAAGAAACCAAGTCTCAGAGAAACAGCCTCATGTGAGGCCATGCAGGTCCCAAGTGGAGGACTCCAGACTGTATTTGCTTCTAGGTCTCTCTGGCACCAAAGACCCCTTTTTCTTTCTACTACATCTGTGTGGGGCGGAACAGAAGCACAGTGGAAAGGAAAGCTATGTGAAGAAGAACCATGTGGATAAGGTAACGGCTGAGAATCATAAAGAAGCAAAGAGCACCAAATTAAGGTGAAGACTTAGTGTCCACTAAATGAATTAAGAGTAATTGGTAGAATACATGTCATCTCTGAGACTCTGGCTCCTCGGTGCCATATCACTCCATTAAAACATAAAAATGTATCTACTTGTCAGATATATGACATTTAACTGAACTTTTATTTTAAATGTTCATGGATAAATTTCCATGTCATAGCAAAAAGCTTTTAAAGGCCATATTTTAATTCTGAAATATAATTTGGATAAAAACACGTATCTCCTTTGGAAGCTGTGTTAAGCCTCCGGTCCTCTAATTGCTTTTCTAAATATTACAAAGCTTATCCAGCATTTAGTACAAGGCTTAAGCCATAAAGACAATATATATTTTAGAGTCAAAAAAACAAATTCATAATAATGTTCCACATTATATACATGTTATTACTTCAGGGAGAATCCCAAATATTTAAGATACAAATCCTGTATACATGGACCAACATGTATATTTAAAGCTCCTTTTGGAGCCATTTACCTTTTAGTAACATTAATAAATTTCTATGTTATTTGCTAAACTGTTTGGAGATTCCTTGGCATCTCAAGCTGATATATATTTTTTATCTCTGATAATTAAACATTACGATTATTTAGTGTTTATTAGAGTTTATCAATACTTTCACTGTGGCATTATATTATTTTCTGACATTGTCTTTTTTAGTCCCATAAGTACTCTTTAAGGAAATGTTATCCCCAGCTGTGGGTGAGGAGTCATGGCAGGGGGTAAAATAATTTATGTAAGATCACACAGCTTATTAGGGAGGAGTCTGGATTTGAAGTAGAAGGGAGTGTGAGTCCCCAAACCATGAGGCTAGTCTGCCTCTGGTCATTTCACCCACCATACCCATTGCCTTCCTTTTCTCCCCTTTATTCCATTCTTCCTTTCATTCCATATCCAGGTACTTGTCTTTAAAACCTACCACTTGGAGTGGGCAGAATTCCAATGACCAACAGCTGTGCTTTGGAGAAGTGTCGAATCATATATTACAGCAGAGAGGGTGCCTTTGATTTCTATAGACAGAATTATTTTTCATGCTTAATATGTGACCTTGAAAGTGTGTTCTTCAAATAATCTACTGGTGTTCAGTCTAGACCTTTGCTACTTAAAGTGTGGCCCCCACCCTCCACCTGGGAACTTCTTAGAAGTGAACGCTATCTGGCCCTATCCAGACCTACTAAACTGGAATTGGCATTTAAGAAGATAACTGGGTGATTCCTATGCATGTCACTGAGACACTAACTAAATTTTAGGGAGATAAATCTAAATGCCCACTAAGCACTCAGATATGAGGTGGTTTTTCTCCACACTCAACAAGAGGCTCCAGAGTTCATGCTTTCAACATGGCACTACTCTCAACAGGACACCAAACCAACCCCTGAGAGGTGGCTGAACTGGACACACCGGGAGTTCTTCTGTTGTTGAGAACCTCACTACAGCATGCTGCTCGGGCCAACTGCAGTAAAATAATCTGCTTTTATAAGCGCTGTGGCCTCACTTCTTTCTCCTCAAAGAACATTGCATTGTTGAGATCTTGACCGTCTTCCTTGTGCTCCGTATTGTGCGCGGTATTTGGCTTCTCTGCTTTCACTTCTTTTCCCTTTGTCTTTTCTGTATACTGTTAGTTTACTAAATCTCGCTAATTCATTGTTTGGAACAACCTCTGCTTCTCTGCAAAACAGTTTCTTCTCGTCTACAATAGGGGTCAGCAAACTTTTTCTGTGGAGAATCAGACACGGAATACTTGCTCTTTGGAGGCCACGTTCCATTCGTGTTTCTCCTCCTTTCCTTCATTCCTCATCATTTTTTCTCCTTCCCCCCCTTCCTTTCCTCTTCTTTTGTAACCCTTTAAAGATGTAAAAGTGATTCTCAGCTTGGGGGGCAGGGGACACAACACAAAAACAGGCCAGTGGCAGATCTGGCCCACAAGCCTGGGCCTGTTTTCCACAGGGCTTCCCCCCCCCCCCCCAGATCCAAGATGCTCAGGAGCCCAGAGTAGAAGAATGAGATGCTTGTGCCGGCAGCAGTCACTCCGAGGGGCTGCAGCTTCCCAGGGTGGGGGTGGGGGTGGGGGTCCCCTGGCCAGACTGAGGACTGGGGAGATCAGCGCACAGGGCCGTCTGGGAGGGCTGGTACAGCACCGGGTCTCCACCTGCAGCGGCAGGCAGCATCGCCTGGCGGGGCTCCTAAACCACTGGTTGCCAAGGCCCCGCCCCAGGGATGCAGAGGTAGTAGGTGTGACGTGGGACCCGAGGCGATGGCATTGCTGCGGGACTGAGATCTCACTCTGAGAGCCACTGGTTTACAGGTAAACCTTTAAGTCCTTCCCCAAACACTCAGAGCCCCGCACAGTCCAACCCGACTGCCTTTGGTTCACTTCACCATTCACTGCATCCCTGGATTTCTGCTCTGCCTTTCACGTGGTGCCTCCCCTGCGAGGATCTTCGCCATCTTTATCCGTCACCCGTGCCCCCTTCCTCCAGGGGTCTGCACATTTGCCAGCTCTCCCAGGGAGCCTCTTCTCATTTCTCTGGTCAGGAGTCTCCGACTCCCTTCTGGGTGAACTCTAGACCTCGCCCCTCCCTGCCGGACTCCCGGACGCGCCTTGTCCTACACTTGCTGTCAGATTTTAAGGTCAGGATGCCCTGAGCTTTATACATGGTAGGTGTTCGGTAAATATTTGCGGAATAAATAAATATGAACTAATGAATGAAGGCAGGAAAGAAAAGTTTATATTTGTTCGTCTTAAATGTTTGATATGTGATTGAATTAATCCTTTTCAGATAACATCTCTAGTTAATTTTATCAAAATGAGACTCACTTTTCAAGCACAGTAGATGTAATTCTAAAAAGCCATTTGTGTTTTTTCTCAAAGCAGACACATGGGGAGTGCATTAATTCTTAATTAATACTTAATAGCTACTGAAAGCAAACCTGAATTATATGACAGAAACATTAGGATCTCCCCATCTGTCTCCTATTACCTTAGGGAGATGCGTCTGCTGGTGCAGAGGTTTATTAATTGTAGCTAATCTTACCAAATCTTACCAAACCTCACATCTCCTAGGTGATTTCTTATAGCTTGATGATTAATAGTGGCAACCATACAAGTTTGAAGCAGGAATTACCTCAATTCACAGTATGTCTTTGGCAGTTGCTAACTGTTGACCTTAACGTTTCCTAACCTCTCACCATGAAGACTTTGGTAGAATGGCCAAATAATAATGAAGAATATTTAAAGGATCTGGACAATACCTGGCACATATGTAAAGGATCTGGACAGTACCTGTTAATTGTTTCTCAATTAACATAAATTAATGTTATTATTTTATATTAATCCTTTTACCATTATTTCTTGTTGGGTTTTATGTGAAAGATCTGAAGCAAGAAATATCTCATCCAAGGACTGAATTTGACCCTCAGTTCAATTTCAGATTTTCTCATGGTCTCTGTGATCTTGGATAAGCCTCAATTTTCTTATCTATGAAATGGAGATGTAATCACGGGAATGATGAAATGAAATGACCCATGTAAGATGCTGAGAATATTGACACAGATTTTTTTCCAAACTGAAATAGTATGAGCTATAAAAATAAGAACCTACCAAGAGCCTCCTTTAAAGGAATCATCCTTTCTTTTTAATATTAATTCATGATTATAGTTGCAATAACATAGCACGGCTTTAACTTCAGTTGCAATATTCTAAAAGTCCACATGATGGGGACATTTCTCCATATAAAGAGTAGGCTGGCCATTCTGTAGTTGAGGATGCATTATCATTAACCGCAGTGTTTAATGCCCTTTATGGAGGAGAGCTGAGGCAAAATTACATATATGTTGTAGATAGATAGAGATACAGAGATAGAATATAGATTGATATATTAGTGTACATATATTTATAGACAGATGCCTATGTTGATATAGGTCATGTAGAGGTTTAATTCTAGGGGAAAATTTTTAATGCAGATATTAAAAATATATCAGCATAAAGATTAAAATAACAATAACCTTTAGACTTCCTGGGTGACTTGTTAAATAAAACACATTATTAGACATCCAGGTGCACTTAGGAGCAACAATAGCAGTTTCTTAAAAAAGAACTCAGGGCACACACACCCCTGCAAACTCACAGATCTCAGTGAAGCTTCATTAGCAAAACAAAAACGTCTTTCTTTGGAGGAAACAAAAAAAGGAGAGGACCATTCATAATGAGGAAATTGCCCATAAACAGACACGTCCACTAAATGTGGTAAATCAGATGCAATCTAGAAGCCAAGTGGGTCAACATTGAAACCATAATCTTTAACCCACCACAGAGAAAAGGGGTGCTAGAAATAGCCATGGTGCCAAAGACGCATTCAGATGGAGATGAT